GTGTACCCTGTGTACCCTGTGTACCTTGTGTACACAGGGGATATAATTTGCAGCTCGGACCATGGACACTCGAAGAGAGCTGTCTCTTAGACTCCGTTGAGTCATTAATTTTGAACACGTGTGTTCTCCCAAGTTACAGAAATATATCAATATTGTATAATTTATATTAATCTGGTTTTTAATCAAGGGTAAACATAATTTTGAATTGCATTAATTCCACATACCAACTTCGACATTTTGTTATGTCTTAAATCATTTTGGGATACAATGATTCGCAACTGTAATTAAATTGTAACAAATACAAAAAACGTAAATCATAAGTATCGTTAAATTATTCTCTTAATTTCTTCCTTTGTACCCCTATAAGAGCGTAGTTAATTGAAGTTGAATGGTTGGGGAACCATTTGTTGAATTTCTGTTGGCTTTTTTGACGTAACCATGCACAACGTTCAATTGTGTACCCTGTGCACCCTGTGTACACAGGGTGCACAGGGTACACAGGGTACACAGGGTACTCAGGGTACACAGGGTACACAGGGTACACAGGGTACACAGGGTACAAAGGGTACACAGGGTACACAGGGAGTCTCTATGGAGACTGGGTAACAGGGAGTCTCTATGGAGACTGGGTAACAGGGAGTCTATATGGAGACTGCCATGAATTACTTGCCGTTCGTTTTTGGTCCGCCATATTGCTTGGTATGTTTGTCTTGAATGTGTACGATTTCGACCTCTCCTTCCGCGGCCGGTAACAAAGACACTATGGAAACTGGAATAAGCACTCAAAATTGAAGGCCCTTTGATGCTCATTAGCTACAGCCTAATGAACATGAACACTTTGTGTCTGGGTATGACTTACATTTGTAAATTCATCAAATGTCAACCTTGAAGTCTGCTGCAGTTCACTGCTGTTTAAAATGCTTGATATCATTCCTAACAAGTGATCATCTGTGATTAAAGGACCAGTGACCATTCTAAGCAAGCTGAACAGTTCACTGTATGACAGGTATCCATCTTGATCAGTGTCCAGTAACTGGAATGCAACTACAACAAAAATAAATGACAAACACCCAGGTGGTTAAATCTACCAGGTGAAAAAATTAAAATGAATTTAATAGCTCACGGAAAGAAATATTTCGGACTTCTTTTCTCACTTTCTCAAGAGGAAAAGCCCTAAATGGCAAGTCTTTCCCCAGCAGCTTCAGCTGAACCTTAAATATATCAGTAGATTTGATGAGTGTGTGAGGCCTCAACACTAGCACATGCACACAAACCATATGCTGTGTGCTGTGACTTCATATCCAGGAGATTACCTCAGTCACTGAGAATTACTCTTTATGAGGCATACTTACAAAATGAATGTCACCTCCAAATTGCACATAGTGCTATTTTCTAAAGGGTGAGGGAAGGCCATGAGAGGCAGAAATTCATGTAACCTTTCTATTCTCAAGATGTGAGAGCTAACATGCCATTTGATGTTCAATGACATACATTTCTTTTTTGAGAGAGTGAAATGCTGGGTACCATGTCTTTTCTTTATTGAGCTCTTATTATCTATTTTTGGCTATCATATGGCTGACTTCACAAGTGATCGTGAAGCCAGTCTCAAAATCTGTCTAGTTATCAAAGCAGACAAGATAGGTACATAGTACATGCTTCCCATTGCCTGCTTTGATTCTACAATCCCACAAAACATATTTTATAACTTCTAGGAAACTTTCCCTGTTATAGGGAAAATGCAATTGATTATTTGGTTGAATCTTTTTGCCAGATAATAATTAATAATTGACCAAGCTTGTTCAGTTGAGATGCTGGATATTGGCAACACTTTATTCTGACTATCATCATCATTATTTAATTATTTATTTGTATTTTCCTAGTATATAAAGACAATTAAAAGGAATTCTGCCAACGTTCAGCCCTCATGACCAAACCAGCACTGCCAATAGAACATGAATGTCATTTAGGAAAAACAACACGTTTCTCCTTATATTGACAAATACATGGAATCAGCCCTATCCTTAAAAGCAAGGACAATGGTGACTTACATTCTTTTTTGTCCTCAAGAGAATTGCGAGGACTGAGTCTGGACATAACTTTAATGAATGATTTGGACGTTATTCTGTTGGTTCTCCTTTCAAGATACGCAGAGGCCACTTTTGGCATGATTGGATTTGTAGATATCTCTGGTATGTCTAAGAATTGTTTCAGGCTTATACCACCATTTTTTCCTTCAGGGTCATAGCGCGAAAACCTCTTTAGCAGCTTGGTTATCTCTTTAGTGGTAACTAGGAGAAGAGAAATGATGAACTGAAAAGAATGAAATGAAATGAAGTGTATGGTTTGAACCTGGGAATATCTATTAACCATTTATGCCCCATAAGTGGTTATCATTTAACTTGTCCTTGCACTTTCAAAACATATCCAGAAAAAAGGTGATAGGAACGGACAGGCTTATCATCTAGAGGGTGTGATCTTGATATACTGCCTCCCGGTTAGCTCAATGGATAGAGCGCTGGACTGTTGTGCGGGAGGTCGAGGGTTCAAGCCCCAGCCGGACCAACACTCAGGTCTTAAAATAATTGAGAAGAATATGCTACCTTTCTATAACATCAAGAAATCATTAGATATTCTAGTCTTCTCGGATAGGGACGAATAAATGGAGGTCCTGTCTCCTGCAGTGTTAGGGGCTGGAGATATTAATTTCCCACGCACGAAATTACTGTGTGATGGATGTCCTCCCCTGGGGTTGGATGGGTGGGTAGCAGGACCCCTGTTGATACCAGTGTTTACTACACTGAAGGGGCTATCCTGTATAAATAGAGATGTCTACTCTACATATGATGCAAGATTCTTTTGTCCAATTTACAAGCAAATATGTGGCAGATAGAAAGGAAGACTATGATCTCCATGTTGAATGTTCGTGATAAAAAATATATTTTACAGTCTAGTCTTTGTAGAGACATGAGCAATGAGAGGAGTTTTAGAATGACAGTTAACATATCAAGTCATAATGCATCAAAAAATGCTAGCCAATTTAAAGAGGTTGTCATTCGTAACTTTTTAGTAAAATGTACATACAGTTTGAATTTGATTCCAATTCTCTTACTTCCTCCTCATTTGCAACTGAGGCTCCTGCTCCCTAAAATGATAGTGAATAAACTAATTACTTATTGAAATAATTTGAATATATCAACAAAGTTGAAATGATAAATTGGTCACCGTTACGATTATAAAAGCTGACATTTCGAGCATTAGCCCTTCCTCATTCGCTCCGACGAAGGGCTAACGCTCGAAATGTCAGCTGTTATAATCGTAACGGTGGCCAATTTACCATTTCAACTTTGTTGATATATTCAAATTATTTCGTTACCCCCACCAACGCAGCCCCAAACAGTTTCTTTAGAAACTATCAGCCTTTATTCATAATTATTTATTGCATGATAAAAGATGATGGTGTTTACCAATTTATTACCTTACCATAGTACAGTCTCCATACCTAGTACTAAACTGCTGTATACGTTCCTTGAGTAAAAGCTCTAAGGCCTGCCAAGCGGAGCACTTTATAACACCTTCATGTAGTGAATTTTTAGTGTCAGCACAAATAGCTGAAATAGCTCATGCTAATAGAAGCAAAATTTGAACATTTGAGTTTTCATTTCTAATTTTGTATACTTTTCTGGCTATAACTTGTCTTCCACATTCTAAAAATTTAGAGAAAAATTTTCCTTCAAAAAGTAATCATTCCACATCCTGTAGCCCACCAAAGGTTATTATACATTTCCATTTCTAAATTCTTCCAGAATTTCTGGTAATTTTAATCTTATCTTCAAACTCTTATAAGGTACGAGTCATATCATATGGTCTCACGAGTCATTTGGGGTTCAACCAAAGATTTAAAGTTCTATTAATGATGCATGTGAAAAACACTGACAGAGGTGAGAGAAATTTATGCAAATTCAGTCACCAGCTATGTTGATTTATCCCTTTTTTTTTTTTCAAGAATTTATCTAAGTTTTCTGTACTCTGTCCAGATTTTTAAAATTGCTTTGCAATTTTCCATGAAATGATTCAGAACTTTGTATAAAGCCCTTCTTTAATAAAATTGTCTTCTTTTACCAGAATGCAACCATCTGAACACATCAACTCGTCCAAAACAATTATGTCAAAATTGACATGATTTTCTCAAAGATACCCTGTGAAAAGTAATCTCCATTTCCCCATTAATTCCCTAACATTTAGTACTTTGAGAGTTTAAGATATTTTAAGATTTTAAAGAAAATTATGCAAAACTCCTATATCAGTAAAATATATTAAAAAGTAACTTTGAAAGGAAAACTTACAAGCAAAAGCAATTTTAACTAAACCCATGACAATTATCACATTGGACTAGGAAATATGAAAGCTGTTCAGTAACTCTATCCTGAAGATTTCTGATAAAGATGAGGATTTTTTATGCTTAACCAGAAATTATTTTAAAACATCAGCTGCATGAGAGATAGTATAAGTTGAAAGCTTAATTAGAAATGGTATATAATGAGTTGTTTCAAAGATGAAAGTCAGCTCTCTGGTTTTAAAGAGGGTTAAACCCTACTTAATGGCTTCCAATGAGAAACAGCGATGTTAATGTAGCTTTCAAAATACCACATATGGGGTGCATTAGATGGTATAATGACAAACAATAAAAAGTTTGTCTCGGAAGGAAATAATGTTTTTACTGATAATGAAATCTAGAATTTCCTGGTTATGATAATAATGGCTGGAAAAAATAATTGAGATTTTAAACTTCCTCCCAGCAAAAAAAATATTTGTTACTGAAAATTTTTGCAACAAAATAAAGTCGAGAGATTCAGATTTGTCTCACATTTTAATATTGTCCCTGGAAGAAATTCCCAGCAACCCTAAATGGTTTTGAAATCTCAGTATTTGAGTGAGACAAAAAGAGAAATTTAAGGTGGACAAATATATTGACAGGACAACACGTAAATGGGTCCATTAGTTGCCATGAAAACCTTACTGGTAAAGAAACATTACAGGGAAATTTCGTTCATGCATTACAAGGGAAAAAGGCAATGCAACAAAATATTGACCATCAGATTTATGATAGAGTGACCAGTATTAAATGGAAAAGGAAAATTTTTCCAATGCCTGGAAAAAAAAAAGTAAGTTACTTCCCTGGACACAAATTCTGATAATAACATAATTCACTGTTGACAGTTTCATTATTTTTCCTTTCATGTCATGTTTGATTTAGACTTTCAAACATATATTTTTATTCAGATGTTTTCCTGTTCTCTTCAATTAAAGCAAAAGTAGTGGTGACAAGGATCCACTTTAAATTTGTCAGCTTGTCAGTTTTACCTTTTCCATAAATATTCAGCTGAATAAACTTCTCAATATTTTTAATTACAATGGAAGACAATTTCCTAGTTATGAGGCCATGAAGTCGGTAGCGGTTTTTGATTTATTTATCCAGGCAGATCTTTTACGGCTTTAAGCACAGGAAAGAAAGTGCTTACTGTCATCAACTGCAAGTGTGCCGAGAGGTAATAACAAAGGTTCCGCCATAAAAGAGTGCTTTATGTAGCTTTATGAGATGAAATATCTCAGGAGAATCACCTGTTGGTTCTTTGTTCAAATTGTCCATTAACTTGTAGCATTAGCGCCCTGTGGACGTAATGATTCTCTCTCCCCAAACAGAGAAGATTAAATTTTTTGCGCTTTTATCTACTTTTTAGGACAAACAAAGACTTCAATTTTCGCGCCGTCGATGGATCTTTCGTAACTAAGAAAAAATCTGTCAGGTTTTGTGCCAATTGCTATTTTTTAATTCCTTAGCGTTCTCACACCTTTGGCTAATCTAAGAACAATACAAGTCTCACTTCTTACCATTACTGAAAAAGCTGAAAGGTCTTCTCTCCACGAAGGTTATAGAACATGGCTGAATCTTTGAATTCCTAATTCGTCACGCACTGGGGGATAGAGTGGAAAATTGTCAGAGTCACAACATCGCCCAACCACCCTTCCCTTTGTAAAAAAAAAAAAAAAGTAACAAGCTTTGAAGGTAATAATATTTTGCAACTAATACACATTGATGTTCATAGTATTTTGACCAAAACTGCGAATAAAGCGAGATTTAAATGCTTGGCTAAGAAACCAGTCTCTGATATATCTTAAAATGTACAAATGAACCCTTTTTGCCAACTCACGTCTTAGAAAGAGTGGTTAGGGAAACTGAAAAAAGGCTTTACGAAATACAAGAGAAAGACTCATTTACATTTTCAAAATAGCGTTGTACAAAACAAAGAGAGCAGGATTTAAATTGTTTGTGCGTGACCATGTGGCTTCGCAAAACGTGTGTTTCGCTTTCATATCTACAATCGTTTAGCTTTTTTGGCGCTACACATGTCATACCAGTAAAATTTGCATTAGTTTTGTTGACTCAAGGGGTGCAAATTTGCGTTTCAGATGTGCTAAGTTTGACTATTGGACCTTCCGTGGCAAGAGTGTCGGGGATATTTGAAGCACGTTACACGTTGTGGAAGCCCTTTGACTGTCAAAACAATAAATTTCTTCGATAGCTCGATTGATTGGCCGAGTGCGGATCAGAGGTGTGAAAATCTCCCAGCTTCGGACAACACCCACGGCACGTCTAGACTATTTTAACTGCCCTACACAAACATTTTGCTAAAGATTTCACGCGTTCCTGTACTCCTGCGACTTTGCACAGATCGAAGGCAGTCTGTCGTGCACCGCACCATTTCGTGACCTCGGGTGAGTACACGTAACTTAGGTGAATACTACTGAACGCTTGTCAAATATGTTCGGCTGAAAAGGCGCATATTCATTTTATTAGCACTAATTCTTCTACCTTCATCGCCGAGCACAATTTCGACGAAGAATTGCAGATTATTCCCATAACCTTTGCTTAGATGAGAGAAAAACCTGCGTGTTTCAACTCGGTTACAGATCATACCTGAATACTGGTAACCTACCAGACCAGGAGTTGCACAATTTCGTCATTGAGTGATTTCGTGACTCGAAGTTGGCTCATTAATTCTTGAAATTGTAATAACATGGGTTCTTTCTTCTTTCATCTGACAGGAAAACCACCGGAAAATTTTTAGAAAAATCTGACTACTATAGGTGGATCTTTTATACTGAACACAACATGAAGTAAGTACTTAGTCACAAATTTGTAAATTAAGCGGGTGAACAGCCAAGTTAAGTAAGCACTGTACTCAAAGAATTGGGATTCGTGAGGTTTGCAAAGCAAAGAAGGAATTTCGCAATGCACTATTTCAACAGTCACTGTCATGTTAAGCTATAGTGAGAGAAAAAAGGCACGAACGAAAATTACACGACAGCTCTTTAGGCTGGATAATTCTGTCTTTCCCTTTGAAAAAGCATCGCTTTTTTTGCGGTCGATTTGGCATGTTTAGTCGGTGAATTACAGTCGAATCACAAAACCAATTACTTTACATCTAAATCAATGAATCTATGGCCATTTGCACATAGATGTCGAATCCACATTCGTGCTAGCAACATGTTTCACATTCGCCACGTGTCATAGATAGATTTTTTTTTTTCTGATCGTTACAGCAAAATTTGGCGGCCATGGCTCGACAGCCCCGAAGATCACCAAAGAAAGCAGCGTCAAGTACGATTCACGGTGAGTTGATGGTCAGCTTTCTGAAAAAAAGATTTTCTGAAAATTCTACAGCTCAAACGAGAATAAATTACAAACGAATTTGTAATGAAACTTTGCCTACAATCAGTTGCCTGATAAGGTGTTTCATAAGATTCTTTTCACTCTTGGAAATCATGAAATTGTAAAACAAAGTGTAGTTTTCTTTTAGCGCAGGAAACCTTTCGGCTCTTTTGCTCATCCGGTTTTTTGTTTTCCATAAAATTTGGGGTAGAAAGGAAGGAAGTTTGAACGGAATTAAATAAATTATCGGGCTTTATTTTAATTTTCTCATAAGTTAACTTCCCGCTGTGGGTACTTAGCTGAACTGTTTCTCTTTCAGTTTGCACGACTTTTTGACGGACAAAACGCTGATTTTTTTTTTATCGTATTCCTACTCTATTCTTACGAGATTTTAAACGAAATTACGCTTATTATGCGTAAAAATAAAAATAATTCTCGATATTAGCTTAAAAAATTCTTATATCAGAGGAACCTTTATTTGATCAAAACCTCGATCTTCGAATGATGGGAACACAGTAGAAGGATTCGAAATCATAAAACTGCGATAAAATAAAAATCTTTAGGGCAGTGTCTCTTCTTAAAGGGTCAATACCCTGACGTTTCACCATAAAACAGAAACATCACTTTTTAACTGAGCTCTTAAAATCAATGAAAATAAAGAAGATGCCGCTCTTTGTATCGACAACATTTTTGTGTGGCAGTGTGCTAGCAATATCAGTAACCAGCTTTTTACCGGGTGGGACCAATTGATACGACTAAAATCTATTTTATGTCGATGGGATGGGTCGATTTATCATTGTCATTTATCTTTCCCCGGCAACTCGCTATTGCCACTCACTTGTCCTGAAGTTATCGGGATACCCTTTCAGAAAAAGCTTTCAATCTTTTAGGTTTCCCAGCAGGTTCGGCTCGTCGTAATCTACAGGTCTGTCTAAGCGGTTGCAAGGACCCGCACCATATCGAATTGTCGATTGAACTTCGTCTAAACAAACCATTCCGTACCCGTCGCCTGCCATTCAATTTTTTGAGTAGATTTCAAAATTTTCATTCGGTTACCTGTAGTGACTCGGTAAGTCTGCGAAAAAGTGCTAATTTTTAAAATATGGAAATGGTTTTAATCTGTTTTTTTTTTTTTTGTCTTGAAAGATGCACGGTAACTCGGGTACGACGGTACACGCCGCGCAATAAAGAACGTTTAGATGCAGTGTTCACGCGATGGAAATTGACCATGTTCTAGTTTTTGATTATTCAGAATCTAAAAATACTAACCAAATAAATGTAAAGATGGGGCTGTGAATACATATACATCAATTTAGGGACGTTAATTCAAAACGACGTTGCTTCCACGATAAGTTTTTTTTAATGTGATAAACACGGTTAGGCCATGATGCGCGAAAGAGAAACTGTCTTTGCCGATGTTTATCAAACCCGACCATTTTCATTGTCCTCTAGCGTAAATGGAGTTTCTAAACCATAATCCCAATATGAAAACTCGTTCTGTCCGTTCAGCTGACTGAAAAAAAAAATGAAATTTAATCGCTCCTCTGCCTCGTTAAATTTAACACAGTGGCCCCTCTGAAACCTTACAAGAGGAGATAAGTCAAAGCATTGTTACGGCAGGGTAAGCCAACGGGCTCCTAAGACTGCATATACTCAATTTGCTTCTGCCAGTTGTCAAACGAAAAATCAATTTATTCATTTTTGCAGTTGCCTAACCGGGAACTTTCTAGTTTTTCTCTGTATCGTAAGTGATGGTCGATTGAAAGGCAAACTGCAGCGCAACAGTAACGTCTTGCCCGCCATTTCTGCACGATGCGGTTCACTTGAGTAGTAGAATTCACCTCCAAACATTATTACATTATCAGACCTTGTAATTCACAACCGAAGGCAAAACCAGTGTCGTTTAGTTACCGGGAATAGTTCCAACCTGAGTTTTAACCGAATTTCCTGGTATCAGCGGGAGAGTGGTGTACTTCAATTTTATAACAGTACCAGAAACACTGCTTTTGACATAAGCTAATAGTCCTCCAGCAATGTCCAAGACTCATGGTTGCCGGGTACATTATAACGCAGCCACTTCAGCATAGATATTTACGTAGGTATAAGGGGTTGGAAAAATTCTTTCGAATATGAAGAGATAACCTCATTACTAATCTTTGACTTAGAAGTCAACTTGTGGTTTTATAAACTTCCTTTGGATTCTTGAAACAAGTGTGTGGTCGTGGGCCATTTCCGTCGTTTCTTGATCAGAAGGGAAATTATTTTTGCATGTGTAACTTGTGGAGGGTTTTTAGTGACAAGATTTTGCGAAGCATACGCTAAATTTTATTGCTTCTTTCGAGACGTCTTTGAAAGCGGTAATGGAACAGAAATCGCTGATTTTATTTAGTTCAGTACAACAACAGTATTAATAGGACGGATAATTCAACTTTTGAAGAGTTTCTGATTGCGAGATTTAATTCTCAAACAACTGCTAGATATTGTTGCGACTTAATAAGACAGAAATCACTGATTTTATAACTTTAGTACAGCAACGACAACATCAACAATATTAAGAAGACTGCGATTTCACCACTGTTCTTGTAAAACACAGACGCCGCACAAAATGGTTGCTCAGGGACAAAACAGTGCTGTAAGAATTTCACGAAAAATTTGTTGTGTAACTGTTACTCACTCGTTGTAACATTCTCATTCTTACTCCAACATAGCCCTATAGATCACCAAGTGCAACAGGGAATATACAGCAACAACCACAATTTAGACATCCGGTCAGGTAAGCCGTTAGTAAAACATCTTTGAAATGGTAATTTGTGGAATGGCTTTCTACGAAGAGAGAGAAAGCTTATTTACGTCAGTTTTTCGAAAATCTAAGTTAGTTCATTTTACTTGATTCATGATACCAAAGAACGAACCGGCTAGTAAAAGGAAAACGAAAGGTTCATCCTATTGTTTACGCAGTGACGCACGCGGTTGATGTTTTTTTCAGTTTGCCATTGTCGAAAAGACTAAAGGAAAATCAAACTGGGCGGTCCTCTTTGAGAGAATAATTCACATTTCACTTAACCGTGGTTCCAGAGGTCCCATCTTTTCTATAGATATATATTTGTGTGTGTGTGTGTGTGATAGGTAGAAAAAAATCAATCAACTACATTTCATCCCTACAGACCTGTTTCGTGGTTGCCCACTCATCAGGGGATTTTAATGACAGAATAACGCAGTACCATTGCTATACTAATTAACATGATTGATTTGGTGCGAAAAGTGTCGAGTCAGCTGTTGCGTAGGAGGGCTTTGTTTCTCTGTCGGCAGCTNGTGCGTTGGTTCATAGTAAAGTGTGTAGCTGTATCCACTGTCGTCTTGTGCTTTCTGGTAGGCAGGAGCTGCTTGGTCGAAGGAGGCTTTGTCGGATGAGAGAGATGATAAGCGTCTGTTGATACCGGTGGGAATGTTTTTGGTGGTGATCGGTGGGTAGTTGCTCTCGTGGTGGACGTATTGCAATGTGGTGTTAGGCTTTGTGTATGGTTGGTATGTGTTTTGGCTGAGGTTAAATGTGACGTCTAGGAAGTTGACTACTTGTTTGTATGTTTGTATGTTTTCTATGGTGATGCGGAGTTCGTTGGCGTTAAAGATGCGGCATATCTCTTTCTTGATGTTTTCAGTGTCCCTAGGTGTGGCGTCAGTGGTTGACAATCTGTAGTTGATTGATTTTTCTCTGCCTATCACAAGTTATACTCGCTCTGCTATATGTATCGAGCACTGTTTTACGGATATCAAGTTTAACCCTTCCATATATATTTATATATCAAATACCCAAGAAACTTCGAAATGAAACCCAAAGAGAAAAGTGAAAACGTCATTGAGAGCGGTACTTTAATGTTCCCGGTGTAAGCTCTAAGGATCAACTATCGGAAAGTGACTTTCAAGTGTGTGCCGCGATGAAGATTGTGGTTGACCGACGGAATAAGCGCCTCAACCAGAAAGATTAAAAAGATATTAATAGCATTTTTATTTTGAAAAAAATTTTTTCGAAGGCACCACCAGTAGAATAGACTTCATGGATACAAAGATGCTCGCATTCATATATGCATTATTTATAATCAACTGAGTACAAACGCGCAGTCTTTACCAAAGTTAAACTTGTCTAGGTTCAGGGGCTATTTTGTTCAAATGGCCTTTTCCGTTTGGCCATCTTATTTGGGAAAGCTTATTCTTGGAACCAGTAGCGGTGAAAAATCGAGAAACACCTGAAATTCCAATTTCAGATGATGAGTCTCAGATGATGCGGTTAAAGCGGCTATTTGGAAGCAGAATGAGTAATTAGACCAGGAGGCTTGACAAAAATATAAAATAGGATGAAAGGGAAAGCACAACGCCAGAGGCCATTAATGTATCTTAGACTGAATTCTCGTCTTTTCCGTAATACTCTAGTTCCTTGTGTTTTCTACATAAATCATAAACCTCCTTCTTTTGTGGTTTGATTCATCTGCTCATCAACTGATGTCGTAAGTGTGGAGTTTTGGGGTTACACACTCGCTGGCTGTCTACACAAAGGTAACCCGACGTAGTGCTGAAAGTACTCAGAAACAAATTAGCATCTACAGCATTGTATACTCGATTTCTGTGGCTCTTTTAAGTCCGTCTTCGTTTCTTTTTTAAGGGGAGGGATGGAAGGGATCTCTTTTTTTTTATGGGGGGGATGGAGGGAAGGGAGGAAAGGATGAGTTCCTTTTCCGAGAGTGTTTAGGAAATGAATGGGGTGGTGGTGGTAGTGGAGGAAGTAACAATTGGGGGACATGATAACTGTAGTAACTGAGGATTTCCTTGCAAGAATTTAACCATTTTCACCCTTTTCAGGTTACTCTGGACAAAAGGCGCATATGATTACATGTACGCATCAGGAGAAACATTACTACGGAATTTCCCCGTTCAAGCGACCATCCAAGTCGTAGATTCTAGTGACGGCAGTGACGATGAGGACGATGAAGAACTCGAATGCGATGAAAAAGAAAATGAAAAGAAAGTAAAACAGTAGACAATTGTTTAAAAAAAGTAGCTATTCTATACATAAGTAAATAAGAAATCCTGCAAAGGTGGAGCTATATATCTATGCGACGATACCGAAAATGCATTTGTAAATTAGAGGTGCTTTGAGCTCCAAAATGGAACAGATCGAGTTAGATATTATAAGTTGTCAGCAAATGCCCCTAATAGAACACTTTTAGATAGTTTATTGTAAAACCAAAGCAATCGCTAGGCCAGGGCCAATCAGGGCGAAGGATGCTAGTACAAGGAGCCAATGGGAACTCAAAGAAAGTGTCCTATCACACACGAAACTCTCTAGAACCAGCAATACGCTACGGCAACCATGGTAAGAGACAAAACGTTCACTCGAAAATGTCCTCATGGACGTAATTGCGCCCTCTACATTAGTTATCAACGTTTTTTTTTTTTTTTAATATATATCAAGACGCTTGCTTTGCCAAAGCAGTTTACCCTTATACACTTTTATAAATACGGAAAGATATATACAATTCTAAAAACGTCAATGTTGATGGTTGGACAAACAGTCTAAATGGTATGTGTAGCCGCTATACTCGGAAATTGCTCTTAAAAGAAGATAATAGTTCCAAACTTGAAGGGTTTTGAAGAGCACCCGAACATCAATGAAAATTAGGAAATCTCTTTGTTTATTAATTCTACCGACAAACAATTGTAACTCATTGTATATGATCATCTTGTATAAACAAAGTTTATTTTCTGTAGCTTTTAATTCATCCACACAAGTCTCTGGTACAAGCTGTAGCACTCTCTCTTTATTTTTACTTCAAAGAAACGTACTTCAGGTGATCAGTATGAACCACAAAATGGTTCTTGTGTGGATAAAAGCACTGACATACATTTATCATACAAGCTGTGCTTACACCTTTGTACATTTTAAAGTTGATAATATTTAAATATTTTATGAATGAATTACGATAATAAATAAACGCTATTGGAATGGATTCCTTACCGTTTTGAAGTACCGAAAGAGTTGTGCAACAAATATCTACCTGTGTCATTCCAAACGGGATTAATCTCTTCAAAACTTAGTCTTGAAGTCATAGTGATGGATCTTAAGCAATTCAAATACCTAAAGTTTCTCTTTCTTAAATGAACAAGACTCACATAGTGAGATCGAAAACTTCGCACCACTAAACGGCGGAGAGTAATAATTGGTAATGCGATTTAAGTAGAGCTACCATAGACTACGAGCAGTCGCTCTTTTACCGCGAAGTCCGTCGCGCGAGTAAAAAAAATCAGCCAACATAAATTTTCATTATTTCATTTATGTAGTCGATTAATGTTTATTATTTTTTTTACTGGCGTGGCAGACCGATGAAAAAGAGGGACTACTCGCAGTCTAAGCTACGGGGTCACACTTGCTGCGTCTTGAAAACTGATCAACTTCATTGGTTCAAGTTGATCGCTTGCAATTTATCGTCAACCTTCCCCCCTTCCTTAGCAATCCTCGTACCTTTTGGAAATATTTTAATCTCGTAGCGCTCTTCTAGAAAACCATTTCTTAATGGACTGTTTTACTATTTTACCGTTTTTTCAAGTCAATTATCTAGAAAAGTTCATAACTACGCGAAGTAACTTCTGAAATTTAGGTACTTTGCGATTCTTCTGTTCTCTCAAACATCTCGCGTTTTTCCGACGAGTGCTGCGGCAAATCCCAAACCAATGTCATCAAAATGACCAATCAAAGGAGAATATAACAAGCAGCCAATGAGAACTCGAGAAAACACAAGCAATCCGCTCGAAAGCGGGCAAACGCAAGTAACCAAGTCGTAATTGCATCTGATTGATTAAGATGGTGGCGGGACTTTTCTCGACCAATCACAGAGCATAAGGAAGCAAAACCAAATCAATCCCTCATTTCTTTCGACACTCGATTGAAAACTGCTCTCAAGTGGATGTCAATAAAAACCTTATCTTTGGTAGATCGATAGATGGCATTTTAAAGGCAGGGTTCACACCTTTTCGAGTTAATATATTAAAATGCATGATTTCTATGGTCATGTCTACGCTCACTTTTCAAAGTTTATATGAACTAAAAATTTCATCACCTACTTTAAATAACGTGAAAAAACGTGTTAATTTAACTTGCTTTCCATCTTTTATAATTTGTGATGATGTTTTATAGCGGGGCTCCCACGCGCGCGAAGAGCGCATGGGGCAGAGCCCCATACCCATGGAATATGGTCAACCGCTTTTCGTTTGGTAGTCACGTGACTGACCGAGCGTACGTACGTACGTAGGTGCCTTCAGATTGCACGGGTAGGGTAGGGGAGACCATCAAAACGAAGGGAGGGGTGTCTCAGGTGAGTCTTGGCAAATGCACATATTTTATGTTATCATTAATATTACGAACTTGGGAGCTCCGCTTGTAGGCTTGGCTAAATCTATATATTAAATCTCTATTGCCTCCTGGGGACGAGCTAGGGAATCCCATAGTGATCCACTAAGGGAAAATCTCTAATATGACCACAAATGGTACTTTAAAAACATTCACTGAGACTGTCATAACCTTTCCACACACATAGCAATTCCCATCCCGCCACCGATACACAAGGCAGCCACGCCTGTTCTTTTTCCTGTTCTTTTCAAGCCATGTAACAATGTCACAAGAATTCTGCATCCTGATGCACCTATTGGATGGCCAAGAGCTATGGCACCTCCACTGATATTAACCTGTCAAGATAAGTCAGAACAACAATCATTGGTCAAACATGCAGTCACAGTAAAGTATATCACAGGAAAATTTATTACCAGACGAGGGAATTCCGCTTTAAATTGCACGCGATAACCGCTTCGCTTCGCGATTCGTGCGATATCGGTTTTTGCGTGCAATTCAACGCGGAATTCACGAGTCGGGTAAAGGATTTTCCTCGAATCGCAGAATATAATAAAAATAAGAAAAAACAGAAAACAGCGATAATCTTGTTTGTTTTCATTCTGAGCGCGAAACAAGAAATGTGAAGCAAAATCACTTAGCCTCTAATTACCTCACTTCTTTAATCAATCAGAATGCGATATTTTATTCAATGATGCGATTCTTGGGGATATGTGAATGTACGAGACCTTCCTATTTGTGAAGCTGAAGAATCAGATCTATGTCAGTATCTTTGCAACTGTGTATCTACCCCTCCCTCTCCTAACCCAATAACAGTCAACTGATAACAAGTTAGGATTGATGTTGGATTAAGGGAGGGGTGGGTGTTCAGTTGCTCAGATACTAAAACTGATTCAAATAGTCAATTCATAAATATCAAACAACCAGGCTTGCCTTTAAATACCAGTGGGATGACATTGTAGGAATTTTTCAAAAAATCTTTTTTATACCCAGTATAAGCCTGATACTCAGACTGCCCGCTGTTGCTCCTTGAAAAAGTTGAAGCTGGTCACTTTGGACTGCACGAAAATCATGCCACCCTAGTATTTTCATAAGAAATGTTTCTCATAACCTGCATAGTTAGTGGGTTTTGAGTGCTCTATAAAAACTACAATCATTGAGCTGGGAAAAAGAGAAATAGAGCTTCAAATCGCCCTGTTGAATTTCATGGCTCTGTTGCTCTGTCAGGAAAAACTGGCCTGCTGGTAGATTAACATGCAGAAGGATCAATGAATGAAATGATGAATGAGGTTGGAAATCAACTGATCAATTACACCCTCAAATTGGCATAATGGAGAGGTCAATTAGATGCAACTAAAAAAGTGAGCTTGTACAATGTTTTCATAATTCATAAAAAAATGTCAGAGAATTTCAAATGTAACATTTGGTACCTTTTGTGGATCAAGCCGCAAATCTTTCACAACAGCACAAGACTGGGCTGCAAATGCTTCATTAAGCTCAAATAAGTCAACATCTTCAAGTTTCCATCCTGCTTTTTGAACCTATGGAAGAGAAAAAAGGAAATCTTTTTTTGTGTAACATACATCCTCAATTAAATTGATTTAAAAAGTAATGCAGCTGCAATCCTCTTACTGGTGGGGAGGCTGTGATAGAAAAGTTCTTCCCATAAAGATTTTACCCTCTATTCCAACTCTATGCAGTTTGTTTTTTTTTTCCACTGCAAAGTGTTGCTATATCTTTTTTCCCGAAACTTACACCTATCGTCGTTGTTAATACCATATGCAACTTTTCTTTTTTGATCTCCAGCTGATTTCCCAACCCAAGTGCTGCACATTCCTGTATCTTGTGCCCCCCTTCAATAAAACTAAGGGTCCCAACCATTCTCAATCATCCTCTGATCTCACGTTGACAAAACATCCTCTTTTTTCTTTCATATCATAAAACCAATGTAACCCACTGAAAGACTGATCAATCCAACAATCAAGCAAGCCAGCAATCAGTCAGTCAGTCAATCAATCGACCAAACAAGTAGCCAGTCAATCAGTCAATTGGCTCAATAATCAATTATCCATTTGCTTAGATGGCTGTCAAGTCAGCCAAAAAGTCAACTGCTGAGCCAATCAGAGAGTAATGAAAAACATATTTTCCTTACAGCTTTTCTTGTTGCAGGAATGGGTCCTGTGCCCATCACTGCAGGTTCAACACCAGCCTGACCCCATGAAACAATGCGAGCCAAAGGAGCAACACCCCTCCTAGTGGCCTCGGCATATGTCATGAGCACAACTGCAGAAGAACCATCATTGATGCCAGAAGAATTTCCAGCTGTAACTGAGCCAGTCCCATCTTGAAGAAAACATGGTTTGAGATGAGCAAGACCTTCCATGGAAGTACCATGACGTGGAAACTCGTCCTCTGAAACATTGGTTGTCCCTAAAAAAAAGTGAGAAGACTGTTAGGGAAACTCATGAAATATTTGGTGAAACCTTGTGGTGAACTGTCATACCATTAAGAGGGAGTTCTAAGATCTCTTCGTACTTCATGTTATAGAAACTCACATAAGCTCAATCTGGATGGGACAAATGGGTTGAGTACTGACTTCTTTCTTTAAGAGGGACGGCTAAAATAATACTAAAAAAAAAGGTAGAGGTACTTAAAGAGGAACAGCACATCTCTTTTTCACTATCTTCTATGCACTCCAAATGCTTTTACAGGGTTCGTACACTTTTGACCTGTTAAAATTCCATGACTTTCCATCACTTTTTCCATGACCTTTTAAAAGATTCCATGACCTAAGGTAAGCAATAACTAATGGTATTGTTCTCAGACAGTAATGTTAAAAAAAAAGTTATGTTTGCAAACATTCTCACAATGCATGCTTCTGTTTATTTCTAGTGAAATTAACTCTGATTTTTGGACTCATCAGTTACCTTTTCAACTTTGGGTCTTACTGCCTTTCACTCATAGAGAGCATATTGATGTTCCATGACTTTCCATGACCCACACCTAAATTTCATGACTTTCCAGGCTTGGAAAATGAAATTTTGAAATTCCATGACTTTCCAGGTTTTCCATGACCTGTGCTAACCCTGTTTTATGAATCATTAATTTACCCTGACTTCATTTACCTTTTCTTGTTTTCACAGTGACAGGTATTATCTCTTCTTTAAAGTGACCTTCCTTTTGTGCATTCTCAGCCTGGTTTTGAGAAACAACTGCAAACTGATCCTGCTCATTTCTGGTGACTTGCCACTGTTTTGCAACATTCTCAGCTATGAAATAAGTATGAATTCATTTTGTAACTTATTTCTAATATAATCTAATTTCACTTACAATGAACTCCCATGTTTTAGATTGTTGACCAATGTAAAGAGCAAAATAACCAGTTTTGTCTCTTAAATAAATATAATTGTTGTATAGTATTTAATTAATGCCAGTACTTAATCAAAAGTAATTTTAATGATGTAAGAAAAGTTTATCTTTGAAATAATGTTCGCTGCATTAAGAAAATATCATTATAGGTAGCATGACAAAGTGGTAGACTTGCTGGCTTAGTGCTTAACCCTTAATCTAACCAGAAGTGACCAACATGTAACTTCTCCCTAAAACATCCCTGCATTATCCAGAAACAGGTAATGAGAATACTCAAACTCATCAGGCAGAAGTTGTTATCTTGATCTGACACCAAATTCTTGCAACTAATTTACAAGGAAATGTGTAGCAACAAGAGGAAAGAATTAACAATCAGATCTCTGGAATCAAAGGGTTAAAACCCTTTGACTCTCATGAGTGATCAAGAGAGAATTTCTCCTTACAATATCAATACAGTATCAAGCGGACAAGTGATAAAAATAAAGAAAAATATCAGTTGAGGGATTACTAGTTGTTCCGCCTCCAAATTCTCTGAACTTACATCATAAAAATTGTATAGCAGATAGTAAGGAGAATTACTAATGAGATCTTTGGAGTGAGAGGGTTAGGGTTAAAGGAAAAAGGACTTTGGACCAAGAAGTCTGGGTTTTAGCCCTGACTGAGGTTGCCATGCTGTATCTAGGGCCTGGGACTAGATACTTAATTTCCACAGCACCTCTCTTGACCCAGAAGTTTGTATGGGTACCAGCACATTGTCAGAGAAACTATTCATGAATTGCTAGTCCAAGAAAAAAATCTGACACTCTTTCTTTCTTCATGTTGCTGAAGCTGGGATAGGATGCAGTCACTGTGCTAAAAGAATATTACACTCACAAAACAACCTTCAAGAATACACTGTCAGATGTGGTTTGAGATGAACTGAATTATGTGATATTGTAACACTGGGCAGCAGCAGGACCCATGTACCTGTTATTCCCATGTGGTAACCATGAAAAGCATCAACAAGCCCATCAAGCATCATAGTATCCACAAGTTTAGTGTCACCCATCTTTGTTGGTGACCTTATGTTACAACAATGAGGAGCCTGGAATAACAAAATATTTGAATTACTTAAAATAATCAGGGCCCCACACAAAATAAGTTCCCGTCCACTTTCCTGAGACATTAACATTGATCAATGACTGATCAATCAGCTCTGAGCATATTTTTCAGTAATTAGTTTGGGACAAAACCCACCTGGCTCATACTTTCCTGACCCCCAGCAATAATAACAGCTGATTCATCCCTTAAGACGGCTTGATATCCCAAAGCTACAGCTTTTAAACCAGATCCACACAACATGTTCACACCATACGCTGGGACGGATGATGGGATACCAGCATTCATTGCAGCTTGTCGTGCTGGACCTTGGCCTTGGCCTGTATAAGGTAACCAACAGCAGAGAAAAAGATTGACTATCTGTATTAAAAAAAGGTGCTTTTTGCATCCATTTTCTGCATATAAACACACACCAACCAAAACTCCTCCATTCGCTTCGATAAAGGGCTAACACTTGAAATGTCAGCTTTGAAACTCTTTAGAGTGGTCAATTTACTCCTTTATCAACTCAGTTCGTAAAACCATAATTACCTTGTTCCTCCCACCGACACAGCACCACAGTTTCTTTAGAAACTTTATTCAAAGCACTGTAACCTATCCTGCCCCTCCCTAACCCTTTTTTTTTACATAGGTCTTCTTCCCCCCCCCTCCCGCCCAAAAAACAAGGCCCCTCTTCCCTCCTCCCTGAGCCTGATGATGGGCCTGGTTGGAAGGGATGTGGGGGGTGAAAGGGTAATTTATAAATCTATACTAACATCCAATAAATAAAGGTACATCTTCCAGACAACAAAACAACTGCAAGCTGATAAACGAAAGTTCATATCTACAATACACACCAGCAGTGCAAACTTGTCCCATAATCACCTCAGCCACGTCAGCTGGGGGAATCTTGCCGCGCGCCAAAACTTCTCGAATAACCAAGGCGCCAAGTTCATGCGCTTTAAGTGAGCTAAGGCAACCATTTAAGTTTCCTATTGGCGTTCTTCCGGCAGCAACAATTACAACATCCCTATCATTGTATCCCGAACTGGCCGCCATTGCCATAAGTTGAGGTGACACGTGAAGAATCCTGGTATCTATCTGGCACTTTACGTTTCAATTTACACGAGTAAGTTTTTTCAAATAAGTTTTCCGCTGATTGGATTTACTGTAGGCTCAACTTTACTCAGAAGTAAGGGCAAGGGACAGGGCAAGGAGGGATCGTTGAGGAGGAATATTGCGTCACAAGTTGTGGTTGAAGTAAGTCGATCGACCATAGAAATAGCATTTAATTTTATTTGGGATTTACTGATCCCTTACTTAAACATATTTAAAGGGGAATACTGTGCTTTTCCAGCAGATTGAGGGTTCTAAATCAACTGCGATGGAAGGCGAAACTAGCGCAAGCAACGGTTCTGTCTTTGATAAAAACAATGAAATAGAAGCTGGTCGTTCATCATCTTCCTCTTCTACATCAGCCGCCGATAAACGAGCGGAAAGAATGAAGAGATTAAGAGAGCTTCATCTAAGAAGGGTAAAGCCTTTGTTTATATCTGTTGTTACTACAAAATGTGGAAAAGCTGTACAGATGACATAAAAATGGATCGGATTTATGCCCAAACACAAATTGGAAATTATGATTTTTCTGCCCGTTTCAGACAATTAGAACTTTTAGACTTGTCTAGACTTTATAAACTCTCAAAGAATGATGCTGAGTTTAGTGAGGAGAAGCGATTTTGTAAATTCATATAGGCAACTCTTCATTTTAAATGTTACCAGAATGAAGCGCGTAAATTAAATCACCAAGAAGTGGCGGAAGAGGATAGGAGAAAGAAGCTACCTAAAAACTGGGAAGCTGTGCAGCGAAGAGTAGAGTGGGAAAACAAAGAAGAGGAGGCTAAAAAGGTATATGTGAAGATATTTTTTTTGAGATAAATTTCACTGTCATCATGCCGGAAAATTTTATTGCTGATTACCATGGATAATCTTTTAAGGCAGGTAACCACTAGGAAATGAAGATGTCATAAAACACTGGCTCAAGCTGTAGAAAATATATTTTTGAAGGCTGCGATGGTTAAATGTAGTCCTGCTCGTGGCTTTGTGAATGCCATGTAGATAGATAGATAGATAGATTGATAGAAATTTTATTAACATGTCAAAAAAAAAAAAAAACCCTCAAGTTTGGGAGATATCCCATACTAATGTGGGGACACAAATAAAATGGATAAAAATTATTTACAAAGAATATTACCTACTTAAGAATAAAATTAAGTCATATCATGAATGAAAAAATATGAAATGAATTAAGAAGTACATAGAGCACAGCCCTTGCAGCCATCATCTAATAGGGAGCTGAGGTCACGCTTACGAGTGCCGTTTTTGAAACTAGCTAATGTTGTGGCTGATCTGTCATAAGTTGTCAGTTTACTCCATAATTTAGGTCCTAAATAGCGCAGTGAATGTTTGCCATAAGTTATTGTGTTGTATCTAGGAATAGAAAAGTCGGCCTGTCTTAAATTATAGGAAGCATCATTTTGGAATAATTGTATTCCACAACAGAGGACCCAATGCGGATCCTTGAGGACAGCCTCAACTGACTAATCTGTTGGAGCTGATATTGCTTCCTAACTTTACACGATTTCTCCTATTCGATAAATAGCTTGTCCTATCTTGCCACAAAATTATGTAACAGTAGAATTAAGGAAGCTAAATTACTGTCAGTGATTTGCATTTCTCAGCCATTTGATGTTACCCCTTCTCTTCCAAACAATGTTGTTAATTTGTTGCTAAGACTTGGTAATTTTTGTGCATAACAACAGATGAATACAATGTAAAGAAGAAGAAAAAAAATTCTTTTTAGTTGAAGTCTTCTTTAATAGAATGTCTCAACTGCTTTTGATGGTTTTTGCTGTTTATTTGATCAGGCTAATGCATAATTTGCAATATTTCTAAGAGAGATACTCAACAAGGGCATTTGATGGACAATATATGTGTATGGTTTTATATCATAGAATGGTATGGGTAATCCTCTGATTGTTTTAGGAAGCTGAATGTAGGGGAGAAGATTATGACAGAGTAAAGTTGCTTGAGATATCTGCTGAGGATGCTGAAAAGTTTGAGAGAAAGAGAAAAAAGAAGAACCCTGATCAAGGTTTTTCAGGTACACTATGCATTTGTAAATTATGAACAAACAGCTCAGCATTTTTAAGGGTGTTTATACTCTGTTTTTCTTCCAGAGAGGATTCTACTCAAAAGTTTGTCTCTGCTATGAATCACTGACTTTCACTCAGTGCTTTCAATAAGATTTAAAATAGGTGGCTACCTCGGTACAGCACCTGCCAGAGAGCGACACGAGTGTGACTTGAGTGTAGTGACCGTGACTTGAGCGCAGTGAAATATACCCAGCGACCCACAACAGAATACACGCCACCAGAGCTCTGGCAGGTGCCAGGTCTTATTGAAAGCACTGGTCACTATGTTTGTACAGGTGTATATCAGCCTGGAGAACTAGTTCTAGTACATGAAGTGAAATTTTTGGCAGAAAAGTCTGAGAACTTTATCGAAGGTTATTCTTTCATTTCTTCTTTGACAGACTTTGCTGCAGCTCAATACAGACAGTATCAACGCCTCACCAAGCAGATGAAACCTTCTCATGAAGATTACAAGAAGGAGATTGAGCAGAAGTAAGTGGTTAACTGGCATTGTAGGCTTGCATGGTTGTTATAAAAGCTATAGATTTGTTTTTCATTTTCAGGACAGATCAACATGATGAATTTGATGAGTAGGCTTTAACCCATTAATAGGAGCAGCTTTTGTGAAAAACTGTGTTTTGAAGCTAGTCAAGCAGATTTCGGGTCACTGTTGTGGTTTTAAAAGCTCAAACTTACCACAAACCCATTGACAGCTTGTACACTCTACAGCCTTTTGATCCAAATACAAAATGGCAGCCTGAAAATCTCGGGCACGAGCAGAAAGCAAAATTTCGAGATTTGCATTTTGGGTTAAAAAGTAATGCCCCACTTACGACTTTTACTTTTCTCTCTTTCTCCTGCCCTTTTTTTTCCCCTTTCCTTGCCTGAAGTTTCTCCTCACTTGCTGGAAATTTAGTAGGCTTCATTTTGGTGCAGAGATTTTTTGGGAAACTACTCATTATTTTCAAACCACATGCTCAGAAAGGTAGGTGGGTAATGGAACAAGATTTTCGTGCAGATTTTCAGGTCAAAGTTACATGGTTTTTTGGCTATTTCTCCAATCTCCTTCACTCAGATGCGCTCATTCTGGAATCGTTTGTAAGATATTTTCAACCTGTTCAAGTACATGCTCAAAGTCGTGCTCCAGGGTTAAAAGTGAGGACGTCACAAGACGTAGAAAGGTAGGTGGGTAATGAAACAAGATTTTTGTGCAGATTTTCAGGTCAAAGTTACATGGTTTTTTGGCTATTTCTCCAATCTCCTTCACTCAGATGCGCTCATTCTGGTATCGTTTGTAAGATATTTTCAACCTGTTCAAGTACATGCTCAAAGTCGGGCTCCAGGGTTAAAAGTGAGGACATCACAATGTGTAGAAAGGGTGTGGGTCCACATGGGCGCTTACGGGCGCACTGGACGTCAATAGGTTAACAACCCTTTGGTGTTTTTATCTTCTCCTCTTGTAGTTCTTGTTAAAAAAAAAAGAACATGCCAGTGTAAAAAGCTTCAGACAGATAGCTCTCTTTGGAAATGAAAGGTGCATACAACAAATCAATTGGTCTTGTTCAATTGTTCAAACGACTGATAAAAATATTTCTCCTATTTTTGCCACAAACCCCTCTATTACAGTGCTTTCAATAAGATTTGAAATAGGTGGCTACCTTGGTACAACACCCGCCGGAGAGCGACTTGATTGCGACTTAGCGTGGCGACTGCGACTTGAGCACGGTGAAATATACCCAGTGACTCGCAACAAAATAGCCGCCGGAGCTCCGGCGGGTGCCAGGTCTTATCGAAAGCACTGCTATTACATATTGAACTTAACTAATATTCTCCTTCAAAGTATAACTACAGTCATGGTATCTTAAACACTGATCCTTCAGTTTTACCATTTTCACTAAATTAAATTACCATTCTTTTTCAGAGGGGAAGCTATGTTTCCCACTGTAGATGATGTCAGCTATGGAGGGCAAGGAAAAGTTCCAAAGGCTGCAGTAGACAGAATGGTTGCTGATCTAGAAAAACAGTAAGTACAGTGTACAATTTTGACAGAAATATATCTTGAAAAGCTGGTTTCATACAAAATTACCAGAAACAGTTATACTAATTGTGTGGCTATCTTTGTAAGCAAGTAAAATAATGTGATTGCTATGTTCTGATTGGCTACCAGAGCAGGCAAGATTAGGTTATCTTGCTCTGTCACAGCATGTTCAATAGTAGCAAGAGAAGAACTTTGACAGGTCAACTTATTACCATCATGACCTCACACAAAATGGTGGTCAATATGGCATTTCTATTTGCACGAAGGAGAGGAATGTTTTGTGATGACAGGATTTTTGTCTACTATTTTTCCAAAAAAAATGTGTTCAGGGCTACATGTGTTATATAAGATAACTTGTGGTACCAATACAGTGTACTCACATTTCTGACATTTATATGATAACATTAACAGGGTCTTTTTAAGTCACTTTTTAATGTTTCATGTATATCACTTTTTAATGTTAGATATTTGTGAAACTATAGCTCTTTCTACCTTTTAAAGACCGTCTATTTAACTATTTCTTAAACAAATTTATTGCTAACTTTGACACATCTAGAATTCAAACATGGAAAACAGTCTGCCCACATTGTCGCTCAATTAATAGAAAGAACGGTTGTTGATTATTGTTTTTGTTCACATATGTTTTAGTATGGTATATACTTATGGGGGCTGACCTCACTGGGACTTCGAGTCCGTACGTTAGTCCCTCATTTAGTACCTTTTTTTTAATGTATTCTTTTTATCATTATTCTTTGTCACTAAATGGAAGTTACTATAAATAAATATATTACAACACTGTCATTTTTCTTAAATAACACTGAAGTCTCTTTTTTGGAAATATATATTTTAACTTACAATAACACTATAGTCCCTCCCTATTACCTATAGACCATGATATTATTGACAGTATGCAGTGAAGTTGTGTTCCTTTACATAATATAACCTCAGGACGAGGATACTTCTGCTACTAATGTTATAAAACTATAAACTACATACAGCTGTAGAGGAAAAAAATACTCAGATAATCACTTGACACTAACTTATTCTTAGTCTATTAAATAATAATTAGATTATTTTACTCTCATACCACTGTCATCGAATTGTATTTTTGGAGAGTAATGTTGATGCATGCTCCACACTTATGTCCAGATATCCATGCAGTAACCAAAATGGCAGATTTGAGCAAATTTGGTCAAACTGAGTGAAAGTTCATATATTTGACGATTTTGGAGCATTTGGGTCAAATTCACCAAAATGAAATAAGCCTGGCAGAATGAATGATTTTGATGGCTATTAGTCAAATTTGCCAAAGCAAAATCAGCCTGGTAGATTTGAGGATTTATATGAATGTTTGCCATTTTTTGTTACTGCATGCATTTCTGGACATATCTGCCCCAGTGGGGTTATTAAATTGTGTTCTTGGGCAAATCACTTTACCCCCCTGGTGTCTCTCCCCCACTCTCACCATGCCTCTCCAATTACTCTCCTCACTCATGATTATAGATGGGTATCTGGCTGGATGAAAAACCAAAAAATAAACTAAACTAATATTGAAAGCTAATCTTTCAAACCGGCAGTCTAAATCCCACAGGTATCAATGAACATTTTTCATTCCACTTATTTATTCGTGTTTTTCTCGTTGCCATGTTCCCACCAGTCACGTAGCTCCTTTCTCTGTCTTTAAAAGCACACACAACCCACAATTCCCCTTTTCGCTCCGACGAAGGGCTAACGCTCGAAATGTCAGCTTTAATAATCGTAACGGTGGCCAATTTACCATTTCAACTTTGTTGATATGTTCAAATTAATATTGAAATCCTTTGGAACGGCTCCAAACATTAACTAATCTTGAGATCCTTTGGAATGGTTCTCTAAAACATTCTGCTACTGAACTATAACACCATACAATGACTACTTATTGTAGACAAGATTATTTGACAGAGTATTGCCAGGTTCCATATGTTATGCAACAATAACAAAACTTATTAGATGTGTAATTGTCTTTGTTACAAGTTCTTGAACACCTTCCACAGAGTTTTTTAAATCAAAGTCTTTTCAACAGTATCAATGATTGAGAGCCTAATAACTAGCATTCTGTTTAGGGGTAATACCAGTAGCACTTAGAATGACTTGCTTTATGTTAGAGAAACTGGGTTCAGTCAGGTGCATGTATGGCAGTTTGAGCTAATTTAACATGCTTTTCAATGATATACATCTTTTTCCTTCTTGGAACCTGCTTCATCTTTAAAACTGCAATCCTCTTTTGATCAGGTTTTTGTGAATTTTTTGAATTACAGGATTGACAAACGAGAGAAGTACAGCCGAAGAAGAGCTCACCTTGATGAAGAAGACATAGATTACATTAATGAACGCAACATGAAATTCAACAAGAAACTGGCAAGTTTCTATGATCCATTCACTGCTGAAATCAAACAGAACTTGGAAAGAGGCACAGCAATTTAATTCATTACTAAAAGCATTACAGTGGACATGGAAATTAGGCAAGGGTCAAACATTCCTTTCTTTTCAGAGTATTTTTAAAAGGTGTTTGGGTCAGCTCCACCCACAGAAGGTTATGACAAAGTTGTAGTGCATTTATTTTTGAGGTCAATCACGTCACAGGCAGCATAAGAGAAAACCACAATTAAAAAAAATCGCTTAAATCAAGTTAAATCAGTAAAATAATGACACCAGCACCAAACAACACACGCATGGAATAAGGCAAGCCATTTTTATTTAATATTTTCACTTTTAACTATCTCCATGAATATCTTGTAGAAAATCCCATACAAATCCTTATAAATTGATATGCAAATTGTGTTCCTTGTGTGGTTCCTTGGGCCACCTGTGGTCAATGTACTTCAGTTTTGTGTCACCATAATATTAAATAAAAATGGCTAACCTTATTCCATACGTGTGTTGTTTGCCCCTAGTGTCATTATTTTACCGATTTAACTTGATTTAAGCGATTTTTTTAAATCCCGGTTTTCTCTAAAAATCCTTCTAAATTGACATGCAAATTGTGTTCCTTGTGTGGTTCCTAAATTGAGCTTGGGCTGCCTGTGGTGGTGTTACATGATTTAATTCATTGGTTATTAGTTACCTTTAAGGTAGATGTGATTTTTATCAAACTCCCTTGATACTGTGGTGTTTAAGTTTGAATATGTAGACAAAAACTAATTCAGGATTGCACCTCCATATCCTTGGGTACTTCCTGCCAAATACATAACAATTTCTTGTTTAAGTTCGCATTTTATTGCCTTGCATTTCGATATAATACCATAGACAACAAAACCTGTGTCAAGTGAACATTCATGGACCATGGTATAAAGTTTCTTCTTAGTATTCAGTAAATTGCACGTGGTAGATAATTGCTACTGCATAGAGTTGATGAGATAAATGTTATTTGATGAAAGAGATTGCTTGAATGCAACATTACCTTAAACTGTAATCTATTTAAAAATAAATCTTGAATCTTGTTAAGAAAGGGTGTAACTTCAGAGTGCTTTAATAGGTGTCCACTGAAAACAACTCTGTGTTTCAATAAATAACAGATACTTACAGGATTTGAGTTTTTGTCTGCTTGACGATTAGTCTGAAGTGCAGGGTTTGCTGTATTACCTTCTCAGTAAACTGGCAAGGACTTCAATCTACAGTCAACTCAAATCTATCTTGTAGAGAAATATATGTGTAACTTACACCTTTGAAACCTTTGTGGTCAGAGGTGAAATGAGATATTTAATTTAATTTGCCTCTAATAAGCTGATCTGTTAAACCATAGATAATGATGAATGGATTCAAAGTGAAATGTTAGACCTTGATGACAGTGAAACTGGTGGTTTTCCCTGTCCACCTTAAAAGTATATGGCAGCAAGTGTCTACATTAGCTCCTCAATGAAGTTGAATATCTTTAATATATCACTTGGTTTTCATGATAAGAAAGGCATTAATTTGTGCATAAATTACATCGCTGACTGAGATATGAACTGGTGGATGCTTACCTATGCAATTATGCAATTAAACTAGTGATCTGTGAACTTATCAAATCATGACTTACTTTGGCATGTAAAAAAAAACAATTGAGAGTTGAATTAGATCTGTTGACACCTAAAGAAGCAACAACACACATCCTACCAGTGCATGGCAATCACCAATTATTTAAGATGTGTGCGTGCCATCTGCCGAGTCGGGTTTTGCTGGGTACAGCCAAGTAGCCAACTTCCAGCTGACTTGTAAGTGTGGGTAAACATGAGATAAACAACAAAAATATGAAACTTACATGACGATAATACCCAGAACTAATATTGTAGTAGGTTTGAAGTTAATCAGGGGTGCTGTCATTCCCCATTGTAAATATCAGCAAATAAAAAAAATCAAGGAGCCAATCAGATTACCTGATTGTAAGTTATGACGAATGTCTGTTGAACATCATTCCTGTGTCTTAAGAAAATATCCTAAATTTTGGACCTCTAACAGCAATCAACCTTTGACTTGAGCGTGACAGAATTATGACTTGAACTACAATGGAATGTGCTGGTGGCTAACAGGAGTCAAAAGTAATTTTGATAAAAAGACTAAATACCCAAAAAACAGTTTCCCAACATGAAAAAAAATGCAACTAAATTCAGTGATCTTGATTTAATAATTAACCACCTTGCTTGAAATGTTGACATGCAGGTTTATAATTATCACAACACTGCAAGTTTGCATGAGCTACTGCACGTAAAGTCCTCGTTGCCTTGGCAATATGACGGGCCACGCCATCTCCCTTTGTTACAAGGCTCCTTTGTAACTTTGAAGTTGAAACTTACAGTAAGAAGCGCCAACGCCAAATAGCAGTCTTCAGAGTAAAAATGCTGATTTCTATAACGAGAAAACCTTTTAGAAACTGCCAAGTTTTCGGACAAATTTCGAAGTTATTGAAGTGCTCGGTTAATATCCGGAATCTCTAAATACAACCTTGGTCCAAAGTTTCAGACGAAATCCTCTCTAAAATGCAAAGGCTACCTTTCGACTTTTAATCGTTGTCAATACCTTGACACCATCTTTGCAGTTTCAACTATTCCTCGCTTGCTTTCCCGCCGAAACGTGGTCAACATCTGTAGCAAACTTTCTCTTCCTCGAGGACGAAGGATCGCTTGTGGAAAAATCTTGTTTAAAATCGTACTCATGTCCGGACGAAAAGTCCAGTTCGTTAAGAATTTGACATTCCTCCATGTAAGAAGCAAAAACAGTTTCTTTGATCCACCGAGAGAGCTCGTCCTCCATTCTTTTTATATTGTGGATTTGAATGTTCACGACAAGTCCGAGAAAACCGATTGAAATTATCCGCTGACACGCCGGAAGTTTTCATCACAAACTCAAAATTGCTCGCGTTGGTTTTACTTCCTGCGTCTCGAAGACTATTTGTAGCAGATTGCACCCCAAAATAAAGGTAAGAGGTCGGAAAAAGAAAAAAGCGAAAAATTGAGATCTAAAATTTCTTCAATCCCTTCCTTCTCGTGTCCGACAAGTATTGAATTCAACAAGGGATGCGTGAGTAGTGGCCACGAACTCGGTTGCTTTGTGTCGTTCTTTCTCATATGTTTTACTTTTTCCAAGAGATCTCACTTAAAAAAATCATATTTGGAAAAGTATTCGTTCTAATTTTCCCATCTTTTCTATTCGATTTGCTTCTCAAGGCTTTTAATCTAGCATCGTCGTGGACCAACCCACCCTTCCCACGCATATTGATTTCTCATTTCCAATCTCCCCTCAATTTGGTGCGGTGTAAGTGGACTTCAATTATTGGCGAAGCTCTTTCTGCTAGACGGTTTTCTCCTTAAAATGCTGCTTGTAAGCCAAAAAAAGTGGTACCGGTACCGTGATTATATTTTAAATTAATTTTTGAACGCCAGAAGAAGAATTGTAGGCGTACAAATGAGCACAACATGGCAGAGGTTACTTCCCGGCGAACGAACGAGTTACTTCATAGAGTTCAGCCTCATTTGGATATCACTGAATCAAGTTGAGAATTAAAAGGTGGGTTGAGAAGAATGTTTTCCTCTCTTTGATGATATTAACCTAAGAAAGCAGGGCCCTTTGAAAATCATCAGAATTTGTAGTACCTGAAGTGACAACACTCGAAAAAAGACCAAGTATTTTTTTCGGCGTGGTTTCGTTGGATATTACACCTTTCGTCATGAAGTTGAATACAAACATCACACTCGAGCGCTTCAAATGCATTGATCAGGGAGGAATTTCCGATCAAAGGGGAAGATCAGTTGATCACATAAAGAAAAATCCCTTCCCAACCAATTTAGTAGGCGAAATTTATTAATATTTTTAAATACTTAACTTTCCCAGCTAACTAAATCAAATGAAGAAATGGCTGTCGTATTTCTAGAATTAAGCTGTAGGAATTGTTGTGAATGATGAGGGATTAACAGATTTCCTTTTGTGATGTTCTTTGAGACCAATATATTGTATAATGTTTGCTCCTGTAATCAGGGTAGTTTGTTTGAATTATTGTAATGCTTAAGTCGACAGCTCGACTCACCGGTGAGTTGTTTCCTCCAAAATCATATTCGCAGCCAAAACGAAATGTCAATCGAAAATGTGTTCATGGAAGCTTGATGGAAATACAATTAATCATGTTTCAGGCTTTCACGGTCAATACACGAACCCCAAAAACGTATTTTGAGAAGGTCAAAGAGTAAGGGATGGCATGCGTAACATTTTTTAGCAATAGGAATCCAACAATGTAAACTTTTTCGTTTTGTCTTGATGCATGGACGTCTTTGAGAATTATCACGCCATCTTTTGATAAATATTTAATTGACAGCGGGAAATAAATTACAAAATAAATATTCTGTTCTGTTGGAACTTCCTTTAAAAATTGATTCAAATCTTAGCTCAGGCACTTTGTTGAAAATATCTGAAATTAAACAACTTGATTTCATTTCCATGTAAGAAATGTGTCAAAGATTATTTTGTAATGTCGTATTTTCAAGAAATATCGCTATTTGGCTTGGACAAGTCCTAATTAACTGCATACAATCCAAATTAGACATAAAATAGAAAACCATTTATTATTAATAATGGAAGCTGATTTGCACAAAGCATGGTCACTTTCAGTAGAAAATAAAAGTCACAGCTTAATTGGGCTTGGAAAAAATTAGTTTCCTTGAAGAAAGATGTTTTTCTTTGTCTTGTCATGAGCTTGAGACAAAGAAAATACTCTGAGTCCCCATGAGGACCTTTGGATTCTATGCTCCAATGCTCTACCATTGAGCTATGGAAACTATTTGTGGAGCCTCCAGCAAGTTAACAGAACAAGAAAGATTGTGAATTTTAATCTGAATGAAGAAATAAATGAGGACAGATGTCTTGTCATGATATTATGGGACTAGGAAAAAAATTTGGGTTCAGTGAGGAATCGAACCTCAGACCTTTGGATTCCACGTTATGACGTTCTACCACTGAACCACAGAAACTCTGCAGTGAGCTAGACCATTGTAGGTTGATATAGTGCCAGGTCAACAATGTGAGTTAATGGAATTAATTTCCTTGATACTTAATTTTAGTTTTTTTGTTACCATATTTTCTAGATGTACTTTTGGGCTTAAAATATTAGTCTTCGTTATCATAAGTAAGGGTGTAGTTAAAAGGTCCTGGGATGCCTGTGACCCCTCTTTAGTAGGACAATGTTTATTTTAAAAGGGCATACAAACCTTTTATTTAGGTGGTGAAAACGCATGACTCTGAAGACACATGCATGTTGTACATCTCTTTCCAATGATAGATACTCTATTTGTAGATCCTTCTTGCAGCATGAATACAAGCTTGCTGATACCTGAAGTTTATCAGCAGTCTAAATCATTTAAAGTGCCTGTGAAGTAAAAATTTTTTGCATAATTTTGTAGCTTATTATGTCCTTATTAAGGAATGACAAAAGAAATTTCAAGAAAAGAAATTTAAATCGGCTTTTTGGTGGCTCAAAGTCCCTAAATTGGACATTATTGGTGTCTCCGGAAACTGGGAACGAGTTTGGCTCTGATGACATAGTTGGTGGTTCTGGCGCTTTGTTCAAGCTTTTGTTTGTCGTCTTCAGAACCACCAACTACGTCACTTCCTTTGTAAGATGAGATTTGACCGTGCGCAAAATGAACCCATTTCAGATTGCAAAATCCAAACTTTGAGGTTCAAAAAATAATACAAGAAAGTTCTTTTGGTTGGTCAAAATCACTTAGCTGTGTTCATCAAGACATCAGCAAACAAACAGGGCAAAAAAATTTTTTACTTCATAGGCACTTTAATTGATCAGGCAATATTTTTTTGCTCTTTCGAAAAATAAAAGCAATAACCTTGGTAAGTTGTAATGTCAAAAGGGGGCAATGTGGTTCTGTGGACTGTCCCTTCACTTTTCTAATTGAATTTGGGGTAACTGACATTTTGCTCTTTCACTGTTACTTTTATTTATTGTCAATCTGTAGAATGTTTTATGACTCTTGCCTTTTGCCTATAAAGCAGTTGTTTTTTTTTAATGCTGATCTAGATCAGTTCATGAAGGGCAGTTTACAATTCTGGACACATATTTTGTTAAGCACCTTACAATAAGGAGAAACGTGGTGAAGTGTTTGTTTGGCAAGGGGTAAAAAGGTGATCCTTTTAATCCTAATTTGGGTAAGTGTATATAAATTGTTTTTAATATTTTTTGCCAGGTGAGAATTGTTCCTTGTAATGGCTGCTCCAGTATTTGTGTTTAAAGGGGAGCTGTTACACCAGGCAGCAATCTATGATCAGCGTGACTTACTCAAGTCTCTTCTGGATGCTAAGGTCCATGGCGAAGCCAACAGTCTTGATCCAAGGGGGCTAACACCTCTTCATACTGCAGCACTTCATGACAGTGTCGGCTGTCTGGTTGAATTACTGGAAAGGAAAGGTAAGTTGTCAAAAGCAAGTGAGAATGTGTAAATATTTGAGATCAAACAACTAAAATTATTGCAGTCAATTGTGAGTATTCATTATCAGCATGGAGAATATATAGAGAAATTTGTTTTTAGGTGTCTAAATATCCAAATGGGGAGAGAAGGAAATAACAATATCCAAACAGGGAGAGAAGGAAAGAAAAGTGTGAAATATGAGCCGAGATGGAAAATAAGAATATGTCATGCATACTTAGTCATAAATGATAAAAACGGTTAATTTTATCAATATTTTATTTTACAGGAGATGTAGACATACAGTCTGCTCCAGAGGACAACTGTTCTGTAAGTGGTATGGAACACCTTGTATAAACAAATTTGTAATTATTTCTTCTAAAGTTATTCGATGTGGCAGGTGGTGTACTTTCAGAATAATGGCAAAGGGAAAATTTTGAGAGTAACCCTCTGAGATCCTTATTCCTTATCAAAGACCCAGGGACAAACAGGTCATGGTTCTCAAATGATAAACACTGAAATGCAAGACTTGGACAATTTCTGAGATCCTTGATGTTTTGAGGAGATTGTGTTTCTATTGTAGTTAGGTGCTTGGCCTCGTGGTTAGTGCACTCAACTCCAGATTGGGTGGTCCAGGTTTGAGCCATGGTCAGGGACATTGAGTTGTGTTCTTAGGCAAGACATTTTACTCTCACAGTGCCTCTCTTCACCAAGGTGTTTAAATGGGTACCGGTGAATTTAGTTCTAAGGGTAACTCCTGCAGTGAATGGGCGCCCCATCCAGTGGGGAGCAGAAATACTCCCAGTAGCTTCATGGTATGGAAACCAAAGTTAAGCACTGATCTGATGGCCCACTTGGCTTGTAAACAGACTTTACCTTTTTTTATCCTTCCATCAAGTCCATGGACTAGACCAACAGATTAGACTAATGGACTAACTTGCCTTTAGTTAATAAGTACCCTTATGGGAGACTTGGTGGCTGACTAGTTAGTGTTGAGATGGTCTGGGTTGTAGCCCTGGCTGAGTTTCAGTGTTGTGTTCTTGGTGAAGACACTTCCACTGTAATCACTCTTACAGAGCATCTCTCCATCTAAGGACCTGCCAGGGAGTGCCATCCCTTTGGAGGGGGGGAGGGAGAGGGTAGGGAGTGGCGGTGATATTCCTACTTGCTTTGAAATTCATCATTCACCCTTCTCAATTAACTTGAATATTTGATTGACAGACTGCTCTTCACCATGCTGCTCGTAATGGCCATCTTCGTTGTCTGAAAGTTCTCATTGATGCAGGGGCAAGAGTTGATATCAAGAACAAAGATGGAAAAACAGCGATGCAGATAGCATTTGAAATGGGGGAATTTGAATGTGGCAACTACCTAAGGACTATGGAAGGTATATCTTATCATCAAAACAAGCCCTCTGAGTCAGGTTCTCTCCCTTACAATTTTGCCTTTGAGTTACTCAAATCATCAAAATTTTAAAGGATTTACTAGTTTCAATATATCAATATCATTTCTCCGTACTGCTTGCCATACATTTTGTGTAATCTTAATCTTTTTAAGGGTTGAATGCAGCTGTCCATTCGATTTTAAACTATAATAAC